GAGCAGTCGATAAAGTCGTCAGGGGGATAGTCGAGGGGTTGCTCGACGGATGGTACGATGGGCGATGGATGGATGGATGATGGATTGGACGGATGGTGAGATGGACAGAGACAACAGACGGAGGACGGATGTGGTGGTTCTGATGGACGCTGGCTAACTAGTAGTTGTGGAGCGAGCCTGAGACTTGGAGGCTGAGGACGGAGGACAGGGGAAATCGACCGGACCAGTGGACGCTGGTGCAGGGAACGATCATAAAAACGCCATCAATGGCAAATTGCACAGAGCAGTAGTATATTTATTCAATGCTAGCGGAGGGATAGAGTAGAGCAAAACTGAAAATAACATCTGACAATCGCCCGTGGAGGACAGACAGCCCGAGACAGGAGGCAGAGTACAGTACGTAACGATGTATGATGATGGATGGATGACTGGCTTCAAACGCACTCAGGTACCCGCAGCCAGGGGGAAGAAACCACTCCCAAAAAGTCGCCAGGAGTCAGGGACGGGAGATGGTTGATTTCTACGCAGCAGCAGTAGTTATTATTATTATTAGTTATTGCTTATTTCTATTATTTACTGTCCATCCTGCTTCTGCTGCATGTTCCCCTACATTAACTCCCCGCCCGCTGTCACCACGGCTCCGTCTAAATGGAGACTTAAAGGGGGGGGGTGGGGGGTGGGTTTAGTGATGTACAGCGCACTATACTCTGTAGATGCCAAAAAGAAAAGCAAACCCCCAGACCAGGTGAGAAGCTGCTCCACCTCTGCTAGAATAAGGAGTTAGTTACTCTGTACGATGAAAAGGAACGAACACGAAGGAAACTCACTCATTATTGCCCTTCTTCTTATTTTCCGTTCATCTCTCTGTGATATTTTAAGCTAAGGTTACCGTAACTACGGAGTAACTATGGCATTGTTGTATTATTCAGTTACCAGAGTATTCGATACTCTCTGTACCTGTGCGGATGCATAACTGGGCTCTTTTCGTCCTTTGCCTCTCACGCCCTTCCCCACATTCTGTTGTTATTTTCTTTTTCTTCTCAAGGAAAAAGGAAAAAGAAAGCAAAGAAAAAGAAAAGAAGGATAAGGGAAAAAGCAAAAGGAGCAAAGCCCAAACCAGGAACTACACGGAGGACGGAGGCGTGGAACAAGTCCTTGCACACACTAGAAATTTAAATGGAAATCTCAATACCGCGACCCATATAGCTTTCGAGGTTCCTCACACCCCAGGTTATTAGGTTATGGGGCCTTGATGCCTAGCTTGCCAGCTAAACTTTAGGCATCAAGCCCCTGAACTCGAACCTGACTCTCTGGGGGGTTTGTCAACCGGTATATATCCAACATCCTGTTTAAATTTCTAGCGCATGAAAGGACTCTCTATGTTCCACACGGACAAGCCACGGGCTGGTCTGCTTCTCCTCTCCTCTCTCCCCGCCGCCACATCGATCTCCCCTTCTCCCACGCTCATCAGTCTCCCACACGGGCCACATCCACATGCAGCCCCGGAATTTCTGGATCGCCTGAATAGGCTGTCCTTGGGGGGAGGCCACGGGGAGACAGAAGTGAAAAGTGAAGAGTGAAAGGGCGCAAAAAAAAAAGTTAATGATGGAAAAAAAACCTGATTCCAACCCCCTTTCCCTGTTACACATCATTTTTCATTTTTTTTTTCCCTTTAAACTTTCTTTCCAAGACTTGAGAGTGAGACTCGGACATTGCCTGCCAGTATTATTATTAATTCAAGATCTCACTTCTCAAACTCTCTGTCTCTGACAATTGACGGACCTGCAAAACTTGATAACTGGCACTGACTGACACAAACACGGACATTGACACTGACAACCAACAGGGGCCAAAGAATAATGATGCATGCATAATCTGTACAGCGTGCGCAGCAGGCTGTACCATTCTGCCCTGTCCTTGTTCGGACCATGGACAGCTGCAAGGAACCAGGTCGAAGGAGGGACACTGAGGCAACGGAGGCATTGAGACCGAGGCGGGGAGAAGAAGGGAGGGGTGACTAGTCGCCCCAGGGGCAGGGCCCGGCCTCCTTGGCAGTGATCCATGTTGGAAATATGGCGATGTTTGTGCTAATTCTGATCACCAGACCATGGCAAAAAGAAAAGAAAAGAGAAAAGAGAAAAGAGAAAAGAAAATGGCCAGAAGAGAAAGAAAACAGCAGAATGGGAGAGGATATTCGAAGAAGAAGAAGAAGGACCAAGAAAGGGGGTTTTCAATTTGCAAGACGGTGATGAGCCCAGTCGCCCTTGGGTTTCACGAAGATCCACCTCTCTCTGCTCAGAACATTGAACATTGCTCTCTTACGTAGCGAATACAGAAATGCACCTCCCTGACATGCCACAGGAGCGGGAGCCGGGGGGGCGTCAATTGATCATCCATACTTGCACCTACGATGGCATTATTAGCATCATCACCAAACAAGGTATCAGCACGTCATGGATGACGCTTGATTCAAGGCATGTGTACAGTACATGACTTGGTTGACATAGCTGCCATAGTGTTGAAGATGTGCGAGATCAGGGTGCTGTTTCTGTCGGGCTGCTTGTCATGGATGTATCTGTCTATCTATCTCTTTACCCTAGGCACAGTACAGTACACACTTGACATTCTCACATCATTGACATCTTGGCGACATCGACTGCCAGGAAATAAAAGGTTGAATTTACAATTAAGAAAATATGGCTACTAGTATTCACGATTGGGCTAATAAAATAATTCTAATACTGGTAACAATCCTATCGAGCATGGATAGAAGAAAAACAGTGTAAACCCAATCACAGTTTCTTCTTCACAATCAACAAAGTACCCGTCTGGGTTCCATCCACAACCTCTTTCCCCTTCTCCACACCAGCCTCGTGTAACAGCCGCTCAATATCCCTTCGAAACACCCTCACTATGTCCCGCTCGGTCCCCACCGCATCCGGATGCGCCGTCCGCCACCGCGTCACTGGGCTCGCAGTCCCCATCATCTTTTCCAGCGTATCCATATCGACCGTCACAGGCTTCACCAAAGACTTGCCATCGGCATCGTAATCGGCATCGCTGCCATCCCACACCTTGTGGAGGAGGCTGGCCTCGTCGAACTCCGCAACGGGCCCCGCAGGCGTCGTCGACAGGCTCCAGGGTAACTCCAGGTCGGCGTAGTGTTTGTTGACGCTCAGGTTCCCCGGCGCCATGTACGGCATCAGATGCTCTTCCTCGAACGCATCGATGACTGTCTGGATGGCGGCGCTGTTGGGCACGCTGGCGCTGACGCGGATGCGCGCGCGGACCCAGAGCGCGACGCTGCCGCCAGGCTTCAGCACCTGCGCAGCCCGCGGCCAGAAGCGGCTCATGTCGAACCAATGCGCGGCCGCCGCGGCTGTCAGGAGGTCGACGCTGTTGTCCGCGATGAGCGGAGGGGAGAGCTGGGAGCCGAGGTCTTCGGCGGTGGAGACTTGGAAATTTATGGGTTCGGGCACCGCGGATGATGATGGTGATGATGTGCTGCCGCCGAGAGAACGGGCGGTGCTGATCATCCCTTCTGATTGATCGAGGCCGATGGCATGGGCAAAGTATGGTGCCAGTGCACGCACTGCTGTTCCGGGACCACAGCCGACGTCAACGATCGTGTCAAGCTGCCCGCCAGTGGAGGTGTGATGGTCGATGATGAATTGGAGGAACTCCGGTTCATATCCAAGGCGATTCTGGGCATAAGACAGGCCTTGTCCCTGTGTGTAGGCCCGGAATGTACTCTCCGCCTGGAATTCAGTGTTATTGGACTCTGCGTTGGCCATGGTAGCTAAGCATCCACACGGGGCTTTTTACCCTAGTTGTGGGAAAGTATTGCAAGATGGTATAAATATAGCTGTAGCGGTGTCTTCTGCCGTTCAGGGGACACGAAACTTGATGTGATGCCAATAATGGTCGCAAGTTGCAGGTTGGTTCTGAGCAAATACGAAGTATGTATTTATTTTGCCTAATCGCTCAGCGGGCACAAGTCGTTATACAGCCAATGATCCCTTTTACCCCTCAGCTATGATGAGAATAGCTCTTACACTCTACGTAACGGATTCCCCGCCCAACATCCAAACTGACCACGATGAGGATGGAGTATTTGTAATGATATCTCCACAATGCACTAGGCTTTGGGGATTAAATGATATAAATAGTGTTAAATCCAGGCAGAATCATATGTTTAACTTCATAACTCACCCAGAAGAGAAGAATTTTAATTGCGGGCAGCAGGCAGCAGTTGGCCGTCAAATTAGGCACCAAGGGCCCTTAACTTATGCTGTGAGGATTGGATTTACTCTCTGGTATTGAGATTTCCGTTTAAATTTCTAGTGTGTGCAAGGACTTAATGTTCCGCACTTCCGTATAATGCCTGGTAATTCCACTGATCATCTAAGGGGGAGAGGAGATCAGCGCTCTGTCTAGCGATAATTTTATACGAGATATCCTATTGCGAACGAAAAAGAATCTGCCTTTGATAAAGATTGATCATCCCACTTTTTTTGGTGGTGGATATGGTAGAGCTTTTTTAATCCCCGGATCCGGATCCTGGTTGATAGAGCAGCACTTCCACCGCCTGCTTCCCACTATATGTATGTACAGCACATACAAGCCGTAGATTCACGGGCCAGAGACGACCCTTCTTTCTGCCTCATGGGAATCTCTGCGTCTCACTGGACAAGGCGTGAATATATTCCATTCCCTTCAATGTTATGGCTTGGGGTGTTGATTGTGAAAGAGTTCCGAGACACCATCCTTCAGCGGGTGATAGGGGTTCCCGGGTGAGCCATAGTAAGCTCGCATTTTGTGTATGTAATTCGTTATTCCATATGTATTGAGTGCCACAGATAGTGGCTTTCAAAGCTGAAATTGAAAACAAAAACTTGAATTAAAAACAGTGACCCTGAGGAGTCTATTTGCATATCGTGAAGAATAAGTGGGCATCGTTTTCCTCCCTTAACCACAAAAGTTGGCAAGATCGCATGTGGAGCACAGATAAGCAAAATCCTGGCAGAAAACAAGAGTGGAAAGCGAAGAAAGATGCCGAATAGCCTTTAACCAAGGACATGGGGCACCTGCCAGAAAATGAAGAAGAAGAAACAGAACATCGAGCGTGCATCATCGTCAAACAGTGTAATGCAAAACACCAGTCAGGAAAACAAACCAAAAGTGCAACTACCAAGAGCATGGAAATGAAACCACCCTCGGAAATTTTTGAACAGATATTGCATGTGCGTGTATGCTGGAAAGCAAAGAGAGACTCAAAAGGAGAAGATGGAATGGAAACTGGATGACATGTGTTGAAAATTGAAAATTCAAAATTGAATAACACGTTCGCTCTCCTTGTAAATGCAGTTGGACTTTAGTCAAAATTCGTGAACAAGAAAAGAGTTCAAACAATACCCGCCTTCTTCTCCCTCCACACAAACAATTTCATCGCCGGAATGTGAAAGATTTACCCTCAATTTCATTCTTCGATTTTCGCATCCCTTGAGGCGCATCCATCGCTTTGGCATACGGGTTGAATTGTCGTTTTGGTTTTTGGTTGCCGCGATAAGGCCCGTTAGTATTGTTCCAATTTTCCGCGGTATTTGCATGAAGGACGGACTCAGCGTTGCTGTAGTCAAAGGGTGTGAAGTTAGGAGATTCCTCGGTATCCCCATTGTTACCTCGTTGCCGAGGAGTAGATCCCCCTTTCTGCTTCTTCTGCTTTTTCTCCTGATGCTTCTGTGCTTTGGTTTCCATAGTACTTGAAACCGACGTTGGACTGGACACTGACACGGAGTCGTCCATTTGTAGGAATTTATTGGGCGTTTCCGTGGTCATTGCTATTGTTCTTGCTATTGGTTCAGGTGTGTCGTCGGTTGCTTCCCTTTCCATTGCTGGGCTGATTTTCCTTTTTCCTGGAGCCCCGAATTGTTTAATTGTGAAAATTTCGTTTGCGGTAGTAGCAGTAGGTCTGGGAATGTTCGGCTGTGCTAAAGCGGGTGTCTCTTTAACCAGGTTTTCTGATATTTTCGGCGGTATAGAGGGCAGGGGAAGGGACAGCAGGAATGCCTCCGCTGTGGCTGCCAAAGAGTGCGAAACAGGAATGGGAGGTTGGTGTGACTGTTTAAGGGTGGCGCCCCAAAATTGGGATATGTCTGCTCTAGCGACTAAAACTGATCGGTGGTCTGGTTCACTCTTAGGCGACAATTTGGGTGTACTCGGGTTGGATTCATCTGTCCTTTGTTTTAATGGGAAAAGCACATCTCGGAGCTCTGGTCCGGTTGCTCCAATAATCTTTGCTTGCTTGATAACTTGAACTAGTTCGGAAGCTCGGGCTCTGACCAGAGGAGACACAGGGGAGACGGTTCTCAGTAATGAAACGGGGTCTAAAGGCATCGCATGGGCAATTTTGAATAACGATTGTTTGGAAAGAACATATTGGACCCCTTCATCCTCAGACCGCGCAATTTTATCTCGCCACTGGTGGACGGCCCTGAAGACGGCAAACTGCTCTCGACTGAAGAGAGTGGAATTACGAATAAGCATATCACGCCAGCCGATTCTCCCTTCGCCTGTCTCGGCATTATAAACAGGACGCTCATATCGTTGTAAAGCTTCCTGCTTAGACCTTTCAAGGACATAATCTATCAGGTTGTTTGAAGGAGTCGAATGTTCTATAAGGTCATTCCGGATTTGGTCATAGATATACAGAAGATAGTGGGTATCGGATCGTGCGTAATCAAACATGCCGGGGAGAAGTGGGCGTAGTCTCCAGTCGGCGATCTGATACTTTTTCTCCGCTTGGAAGTTCGCGAATTTTTCCAGAAGGAATTTCAAACTTTTCTTTGGGTAATTCAGGGCCACCGCAGCATGGTATGTGTCAAAGAGACCGACGATGTAAAGACCCAAGTCACGTTGGAGCCATATCACATCCATAGTTGAACCGTGGAGTACTTTCAAGATCTTCGGGTCTGAAAATACCTCATTCAGGACCTGAAGCTCCTCCCGCCATGGCTTCAATGTGTCGACAATCCAATCCTTATCGCGTGTGCTAATTTGCATGAGACATACAAGACCATGGTATGAATGAGCATCATGATGTTCTAAATCAATAGCTATTTCCGTCACTTCTTTGAGCTCTGCAAGCATTGAGTGGATGCCTTCCAGAGTGTCCACAAAAGTGGCGGTGGTGGTCTCAAAAGGTGCCAATTTACCAGGAACGGAGATAGTATATACCGATGAAGGATAGGTGGAGTTGCGTATTTCGGTTTCGTATGGATGCTTGTAGCTAGGATAAATATGACTTGTAAGTAAACTCGTCTCTAGCGTGAGCAAGGGAAAACTTGAAGTGCACTCACGAGGTGATGGTCCCAGTAGGGCTAGTTTCACTCGCGCTGGTCGATAATGGAGTTATCGCATGGGGTTTAGAACGAAGTAATGGTCTGAAAGGGGTACCGTCGTCTTTGTTATTTGGACGAGAATTGAACAAAAGCTGAGGCTTGGGAATCTTGGATGGGCCGAAGTCGTATACGCTGGGGAAATTGGCACTTGCGGTCTTTTTGCCAAGTACGACGCCGCGTTCTGCTTGAGAAGGACTGAGCCTTTTTATGATACCCGTAAATTCGTCCAGACAGGCATCTGCCTTTTCCAACAGCTCGTCAATGACATCCACAATCGCTCTCCAGTTTTCTTCCACGCCATCCTCGTTGTGTAGTTCGGGGATCTGCAAGTCAGATCCCGACGTCGCAACCTTCAAAATGGAATTGGTTAAATTGAGGAGGCGCGCGCTTTCTTCGTCGATGGATGCTGATACATTCTTATCAAACGAACGGAGGAAATTCAGGTCTTCGGAGGATATCTGCGTCGCGGATCTGATCGTCTTGACAAGGGCGGTTTTTGCCTCCTCCTCGTACGAAGCAAAGTCCGCCGCAATTTCCATGAACGCGATTTACTGCAACCAGAGCATTATTTGGATCAAAAAAACAGAAACGAAATCAAAGCAATCAAATGAGAGGACGAACGCGCCGAGTGTTGTAATGATACCAAGGGAATAATCAAGTGGAAAAGTAATGTTGGATGCTTTAAAAAAGCTTGCCGTAGAACAAATTGCTTGGTGGAAGAAAGATAATCCGCAGACTGCTTCCAACTTGCTATTAGTGACAATTCATGATATATTCCCACTGTACTCACCTCTGTTGATCTCAAAAACACCAAGTAACTCTCTCGAACTTTTGTTATCTTTTCCTGGTCTCAAATGTCAGCCTCTCTAGCTCCAGAATGCAACAATATAAAAGAGTATGTGCGGGAGTCGATTCAAATTGCCTTCTCAGGCAACCCATGACAAACCAGAATGCTAACGATCCAACCAAGGAAATACGAAACGTGCTTTCTCAAATGGTACAGCGAAAGTATGAAGCCCCAATCGATGGTTATCAGACTTCAGCGCCACCAATATCTAACGCAAACCTAGAGTATCTGCGCGGTAATACCTCAGACAAAGACTGTGCCAAGGTCTTCGAGGAATACCAGAAATGCCTCTCGGTATGTCACATGCCTCTCCCGCCCAGCGCCATTTCCTTCTTGGACCATGCCGCTGACCAACTCTAGAAAACCCTTAAGGAACGAGGGCTTGATGGCATGGTGAAAGAAGCCCGCAATGGCAGTAAAGAAAGCGACGAGGAGTTTCTGAAGAAGGCTTGTATGCAGCAAAGCCACTGAACTTTCGAGTTTGCACAGAATACTGATTCTTGTGATAGAGTCTGCATCATCTATTCCCTCAATGGGCCCAGCGGTTGACATGCTGATACCACAGGCGACAAAAGCAAGTCATGGACAATAGCCATAAACCTGATACAAACTCCCGGCAGTGAAAGGACGTTGAAGATCGATGCGATGCCAATAGCGCTCGAGACATGGGATATAGAAAACATAGACAACGACATAGGAGGAAAGGAAGTCATCCTTCAAGAGAGCTAAAAGACGAGCCACCGGTATTCCAGAAGAAAACGCGCTTGAGCGCCGTTGGGAAGCAAATAACTTCTTACCTCGATATCTTAATACCACAAGCGACACATGGAATATTCGTCCAGGATGCGCAATGCCTGTTGCAAAATTTCCTTTGCAGCGGGGTTTTCTTCCTCCAACCCGTAGTGCCGGTAATCGTCGATGATGTCCGATATTCGTCTTTTATCTGCTGGAACGCGTCTGCCTGGTTTCAAGCCTTTGTTATATCTTGATTCCAAGTCTTTGGGCGTGGCGGGGGGAAACCTTTTGTTGAATTCGGTTTCGATCTCCCGCCAAGTTAGGTTCGTACCGAGCCGGAGGGTTGCGACGAAGATATCCTCTTCAACTGTCCACTTCCCATGCATCTTATTTCCTTGGTGGATCGTATCAGCTAGCGAGGACAAGAGATAGTTGTGAAACTGTTATATGTGAGAACGTGGTATGAGAAGAGGTCGTCCTTGTGTGTATGAGTGTATGTACGTGTTGACATGTTTATGTTTTTATTCAAAGAATGCCATTCTCACTGGTTTTCACCTCTGGCGCATGGGAAACAACGACAATATCGCCCTGGTGAATCTTTGCCTTGTGTTCCTTTAAACCATTTGCTATCTCAGCCTATGTGAAGTTTTGTTTAATAATGGGATAATTGCTTCTGCATGTACCTTCTTAGAGCCTTTCTTGGATACCATTTTTCTTTGTCGTTTCCCCCCTCCTGACAACGCGAACATTCCTTCGCTTCCCTACTTACCAGCCCCAGCACTCTGAACGTGTAGTATGTCGCTGATGATGACTGGTAGCTCTCCAGCCTTATCGTTGGTAGCCAGCGGCAAATTGCAGCTTGCCTACCACATATATCAAATCCAATGACAACATCAACCATGACGCGCTCGGAGAGCAGGGGAAGAGAGAGACGCAGATAACGCTCAACCCAAGCCAACGAGGAGGATTCATATGCTTATCCCGAAGCTCGTTTGAAGCCAGGAAATCGGTTGGTCATCCATCAAACCTATACACAGCAACTAGCAGTAACTCTACTAGTACAGCCATCCGTGGCCTCTCACAGTTGCGTATTATAGGTTGTTATACGAGTATTGCGACGGTAGAAGATCATTCAACCAAGTGTAATTGATATTGTGATATCAAGTGATGCGTTTCAGAGTTCAATGGGTTGCGAAAGCTTTCAAACGATTTACTAGTACATATTGATGCTATTTCAAACTCATTTTTGCTTCATCTTCGAATTGTAATGATTTTATCGAAATAGCCATATTCTGACTGGATACATACTACCTCCCTTCCATTTACTATTTATTTATTTCTTTTGGGACGGTACATCAGCGTTTACGGAGCCGCTTCCACTCCCACTATATGGCTTACTTTACTCTCTTGTTTCCGCATTAGCTCAACTGATGTCCTTCCGTCGCTGATACATAGAACATCCATTTTGGACTGGGGAGAACACATCTGTATGTAAACTACGGGCATGTGGTTTAAAGAAAAACTCTATAATTCTACAACTAAATATTATTTACTAGTTAATAAGTTAAGTATTAAATAATAATCTAGAACGTTTTAGATAGGACAGACTTCAACCTTAGACATCTTTCCGGCTATAACGAAGGGAGGCAACGAAGGGAGGCATCGAGGGAGGTGGACGAGGAATGGTGACCACCCTAGTTCTTTTCCCATCACCACAATCAAAATCATGACCGATGCCTTCTCCTGTCAAACGGGAATCCATTCGGAATCTTCGGTATGGGAGCCATAACATTGGCCGTCCGGGTTTTCTTCTCCGTCAACCGCGACCAAACTTCTCCTATCCCGACGCGCTGTGCAGGGAGCATGCTATACTGCAAGCTGTACATGTTGCGGCGGTGGATTGGAGGGACAAAGCGACCAGTCACCAGGCAGAGGATGACACTGGGTGAGAGATAGTGCTTACGGAGGCGGTGGCCGAGCTGGAAATATTGGTCGAACATTTGGCGAAGAGAGAGGGGTATGGACTGTTTCAAAAAGGTAGTTAGACGCAAGGGAAGCAAATTATGGGAGAGATACAAACCTGGAGATGGATATACGAGGTGGAGGTAGAGGGCATTTCATCGGTCTTCGACGCAGAGTTTGGCAAAAGAGCTTCTCGGAGTGAGAAATGAATACCGCCTACCCGAAGAAAGTTTAGCAAAAGGTTGGGGGGTACGGACCAGGGGGATGGAGCGTCTCACCTGGTAAACGGCCTGGGTCTTTCACGCGCAGCATCACCGCGAAGAGAGGGAAATGGTTCAAAAAAGCAAGGCAAGTATCCAGCGTTGCCTTGAGGGATATTATAATCATACGGGCAGAAGCAAAGGTAAGATAAAATACAATGATTGTGGGTAGGAGGAAAAAGAGAAGAGTGAACAAAATCGTCCCCAAGAGCAGTTGGTCGAGGTCGTAGTCGCATGAGTCTATCCGGTTACGAAGAACATTTCGCTTTTTGCCGCGGAAAAGGTGGAAGAGGGATATTATGATGGTGAGCTGCCAATTAAAAATCCGGGCGGACGCGATGTAGAACGAATAGATATGAACTGTTAGTATCGACAACAGGTCAGAGAACATGGCCATGGACATGCTTGCACCAGCAAAGCCGGAGCATCCAATCATGTAGATTACATGCTGGAGAAAAGGGCGAAGGCTTGCGAGAGCACCTGGGCAGTGTTAGCAGCATACAAGGGCAAAAATTAATATTTTAAAGTCACCGTTGCAACTTACTAGCCCAATGTTCTATAACCCATAAAAACAAATCACCCATGAAAACAGCAAGTTCATTATTTAGCTTCAAACCTGCAGGCCAGCCCATGAGCCACGATATTGTCCGTTGCAAACCCTCGACCGTCCACCACGTGAGAATCGAGTTGATTTGTGACGCTACCCAGTCGGCGTTATCCATGATGTATGATCCGAGAGCAATCCCAATGATCACATCATTAGCCACTAACCAAAGGCTGTTGTAGAATCTTATATAATCCGGGTGGCTGTTCGTTACACTTTCCCAGTCGTCCTTCCGTTTGCGCAATGTCAGGTATTGGATCGGCCAGTAACAAAATTGTTGCAGCCGTATATCAATCTGCTGAGCTGTAGCTGATATATCCTTCAGTGCAGCCGCGTCTGGGCGAGCACGCCACTCGAGCACACCCAGGACAACCTCCGCCACGACTCGATGGCTGATAAGTACAGCAATAAACCCTTGCGTAATGACCGGATAAATCCACACTAGAAATATGTATGACAAAGCCATGTATAAAAAGTCCCATGCGGTGCTGGCAGATTCAACCACGCGCTCACTGACACTTAGACTGCGTTTGGGTCGCGCTCCAACCAAGCCCACATTTTTAGCAAGAAGTTTCTCCACTTCGAAAGAACAGTTAACCTGGTTGATAATTGCCGGGAGGATCTGTTCCTTTGGTGAAGGAATATGCCTAACCACAGTATGCAATTTCAGCTTCTCGACAAGTTTTCTGGTTTGCGCTTTTGCCTTAACCTCTGCTTGTTCAAAATCGTCCAATACTTCCCCGGTGTTCTCCAAATTAGATGGTTTGTCTTCCAGAATTAAAGATATAGGCCGTAAGGACATATACTGCATGCGCATCGGATGGGGCCTGTTGAATGTGATAATCTGGATGGAAAGTTTGGTCTCAGGCGGGCAAAAGATCCGGGGCACTTTAGAAGAGGGGTTCCAAGCAATATAAAGATGCGAAGGACTAAATGCCGTTGGTAATTCAGTAGGATTCGTTGAGCCTAAAACATGCATTGCATGTTTCCCGCAAAGGGCCATTATCCGAGAAATCGGATGGGGGCTACTGCGGAACAGGATGCCAGTTCGCAGGGCATTGTCGACATTCCGTGACTAAGAGGAAAGCAACTGGTCAAAAACTTGACGCGCATAAAGGAATGACCAGGACGTACTTCAACATGCTCAAATACTGTGAGCACAAAAAGATCAAATTCCGAGTTCCTCCAACCCACGATCACGCCGGGCGATGTGGACTTGGGAATGTCATTTGGCCAAAACACTCGCAGCAAACCATCACTCAGCATCTTATCATTCTCCAATTCTTAGAACGAACCACGGCGACGCAACTGTTCCCGCGCCGATATTCCGTGGCTTACTGCACGCGGATGCTACGGAATTTGTGAGTAGATCGGGCTCTCGTCAACGGAGGGAATGCGCCTAGGGGATTTACCGAGTTGATCTCTCGTGCCACAATGAGATTGATTGGGATAATGAAAAGGAAATAGAAGATGGAAAGGACAGCAAAGCCCTTGGCCGTGCGTGTCTAGAATAAACCGTTTTTCTTTTATGAGCATCTCTATGATTTGATCGAGGAGGATGGAGGCGCACAACTACACCGTGATCCCAGGCAAATATGGCCAGCTCGTACAGCCGGGTAACTAGATCCCACCGCGCGGTGATGTAGCCTGCTACAAATATGCCAAGCGCGAGGACTGAGAAAGGGTGCATTAATTAAAATCTACCGTTCGTGCATGCTTGGGATGAATGTTAAAGAGATGAGGCAATGGACGATAAATAGCCTTTGGTTGGGTCGGTCGCGTGTAATTGTTTTCGGAAATTCGTGAACTCTGAGCAAGATATAGCAGGAACTTGGAAAGACTCAATATTGCAAATTAGTTTAAGGGTATTCAGGGAAGGGTTGGAGCAGAGAAGATCTTTTGGTTTGTCCGCCAGAGTAAGCACAAAGCTTGAAAGACTTACATATCATGTGACTATGTGGTTTGAAAGGGGGAGTGCAAAAGCAGAATATGCTAGAAATTGAATATCAACGACGAAATGCGAGGAAATTATTATAATTTCATTCTATTTGATTACAGCAACACGATAACTCCAATATATGTTGTAACAAATTACCCCGATCCGCAAACGCCAGGCCCAACCCAAAAGCACCACAGCCCAAAGAACTAAGACAATCGCAGCGCGCGAATTATAGCGCTTTTATACCCTTAAATACCTTATTGTTCCGTAGCTTGTCATCTGCTTGTACCAAATCCTGCATTATCTTCTTCTTCTCCTCCATTGTAAGGTTTTCTTTGCCCGCTGCTTCTATCTCGGCTTTCCATTTTAATAGCATTGCCTTTAACAAAGCACTCCCTTCCGCGACTTCTTCTGTGGAGAACCCATCTAAAGTGGCTGATTGTGGTTGAGCATCGATGGTGCTCGAAGTAAAATCTTCTAACTCCTCTGCTTTTTGGCGTGCCATGTTTACAACCTTCTCAGGGAAGCGCACAAGCTCGGCTACATGGATACCAAAGGACTGATCACAAACACCTGGCTCTACCCTGTACAAAAGGGTAACCTCCCGTTTCTTCTTGTCTGTACTGCTGTGCTGTTTTCCCTCTGCCCCATCATTGATAAAGGCTACAACATGGAGGTTCTTCACAGAATTGGGGTATCGCTCTTGAAGAGCCGTCAGTTCATGGAAATGGGTGGCGAATAACGCAAAACATCTGATTTCCGTGACAATATGTTCGGATATTGCCCAAGCGAGACCAAAACCGTCATAAGTGCTCGTCCCGCGACCCAGCTCATCAATGATGATCAAGGACTCTGAGGTCGCTGATTTCAATATATTGGCGGTTTCAAGCATTTCTGCCATGAAGGTTGAGACTCCCTTAAGCTGAGAATCGCTGGCGCCCACGCGAGCAAGGATAGAATCGAAAATGGTAAGTTCAGCTTCGGAACATGGCACAAAACAACCAGTTTGCGCCATGAGGGCAATTACACCTATTTGTCGGATGTATGTGGACTTGCCACCCATATTGGGGCCGGTAATGATGAGGAACGACGATTCGTTGCGTAACAGGGAGACATCGTTCGTAATAAAGGAGATGTCGTCTTGCATTTCCATACATGGATGACGAGCCTCTTTCAAAACTGTATTGCCTGTACCTCGAGGATGGATTTTGGGTCTTACGTATGCCGTAGGTGCATGAACGGAAACATGAGCGAAACTGACGATCACATCTAGATGCGCTAGAACGCTGGCTAGCTGTTCCAGCAACGGGCAGTAGGACGCCGCAACATTTACTACTTCCTGAACTAGACCTGTCTGGGTTCGATTATAGTTTGAAGATAGTTGATCATGTTCTCGCCTGAGAGAGAGCATGGTGGATGTCGTGAAATATACACCGTTCTTCTGTGTGGAGCACTCTTGATATTCTCGCTTATTTCGAATGCAACTCGCCTCCTGAAAATATAAATTAACATACTGAATTCATCAGAGCCGAGAGCACACATTAACTTACATTTCGTGTCAGCCTGAAGCACCAGCCATGAACACGGTGGTTTTCAAGGAACAGCTTTTTATCCGTATCTTGATTCAGGTCCCTCCCCACTATCTTATGCTCTGTGTCCATATCGTGCTTCAGCCGGTCGAGTTTCTTTTTGATGATCCGGAGACTATCATCGAATTCAGGCTTGATAATGAATTCGTGATTATCCAGGGCATCCAAATCCACTGTAGTCTCAACCATCTCCGCAAGTTTGCTAAAGTTATCTGAAATATTGCGTAATTTGGTGGTATACTCTGTCTCCAGAGGACCTTGATATTGCTCATCCATGACATTTTCAAGCGTGTTGATGAACCCGGGTAATCTGATCACAACTTGATACACCCTGACCACATCCTCGAGGTTCGCCATGTCTCGCTGGAATCGCTTCGCGAGTCGATAAAGGTCCGGGATGGATCGTAGATGATCTTCTTGCATAGTTTGCCTAAGCTCCGTATCAACTACAAAAGCTTCCACTAGCTGCTGCCGTTTTTCAATATCCTCATGGTTCATCAGGGGTTGCTTCAACCATTGGGCTAATAATCGACTCCCCACTGGAGTTTTGCAGTGGTTCAACAACCCATACAAACTCATATTTTTTGCGCCATCTCGTGGACCTGGCATTAAATTTAATGCTCGAAGTGCAGCTGCATCCAACTTCATATACTGCGATAAGTCGTGCTGGTATAGTCGATATTGGCCGAAATTTGTTGCATCAGACATGGCGCCTAGGTACTTGATCAAAGCTGCTGCTGCGCCCATCGCTAATTTAAAGTCTGTTTGAGGTAATATCCCAGCAACTCTTTCATCTCTCAACAACCTCGAAAGATCCTGTTCGATATCTTTTGTCCCAAAATCCGCCATAGGACGTTGCGAAATTGCGATCCCGCAATTATCTAAAATAGATCGCAACTTCCCCAGCTCAACATCTTTCTTTTGCGACTCCATCATAATCAAACACTCTTTGACACCCAATTGAATAACTAGGGACTCGAAGTTGGAATAGAGATCGTTATCGACGAACTCACTAACGCCAAGTTCTCGTACGCTTGCATCAGCAAAACACACACCAACCTGTCTTGCCTCAGATGCTTTAGCAGATATTTTGACTGCTAGGATAATGGGCGCGGAATCCATAGCCGGGCCGCTTGCTCCCAATTCTTCCTCAACGTCTTGCAGGTTACCCGGGCTCGCTTGCTTTGCTAGTTTCCAGTTCGTTTTTCCGCCACCCTGCGACACCCATATCTCCACTCTCATGTTCAATCGAAAAAGAGATTCACGTAGAAAGTTCCGAAAAACGGTCGTGGTCATGGTTACAGAAGGTAAGCCACTTGAATCACTGCGCCCGAGGGATTTGAGGACAGACGTGGTTTTGTAGACTGTCCGAGCGATGTACTCAGCATCGGGGCCATGAGCAGTGAAAAAATCGCCGCGATCGAAGATGCGGATTGTAGAGGAGTCGTCTTTGGCTGGAAGCGATCGAAAGAATCGTATGAACCCCCCCTCGTCATCCAGCTAATAGATATCGCAGCGTTAGATTGCAGTTTTCCAGGGTCCATTAAAGAGAATCAAGATATGAGATGAGAATTGAGGGAATTATATTACCTTCAGTTCCTGTCGTGAAGCCATTATAGCATCAATATACAGATATTCCTTGCTGCCTATGGATCGATTGAGGTCAATATACAAGGGCTATTGCATTGTGAGCGGGGACCGTCTCTCTTGGAAATACTGTTGACGCAGTTAACATGTGGGTACACGTTCATATCTTGACGCGCGCAACTTAATGATCCGCGACTGCCCATCACATGACCACGCGATTACTGCCTCTGCTACCAGTATGGCGCTGGTGGTGATGAAGCTCTTTTGCCCCAGTGGCCTCAGGTTATGAGGCCCGTTGTTAGCGCGAAAAATTCCGCAACAAAGGTGTGCCAACATGCTACAGGTTCGAATCAGAGATTATCCATATAAATAGTCCTTCTTACAGTGTATGTGGCATTCTCGCGTTGAGCGCGTTTTTGATCATCATATCGAATACATAGATGGAATCAATATAATATTAATATCTTGTACAGCCACCTTCTACCTCTATAATTGCCTGACAGTGAGCCAGGCATCTCTGCAATAAGCTCCTGTAGCTGCTCCCTTGTTATAAAGTCCCAGGCATTTCTAACCGTCTCTTGTGCATTATAAGAAAGATTTCCTCATCCCCATGTTTCTCCTGTATCCACTGCTTCACAAGATTCCATACAGCTTCAATTGGGTTCAGATCAGGAGAATATGATGATCAATCTATGGAGGTGATTAACTGAGTATTGTAGTCATATTATAACCAACCTTATTGATTGGTCCTCAATCCTCTTCTCAGAATAGACAGGGTTCCTTTGTAATGCCATTAAAAGATTCTCAGAACATCCACCCTCTTTTTCTCTGAATCTTATTCATTAAACAGATAGAATTCAGTGTTTCTTCTGCCTTGTGAGTCACCCAGGTTCTTGGATAGCAGCCAGATTTAATTCAGATCTCATCAGTTCAAAGAATGACTGACTCCAGCGACGAGTTAGCATCGCCGGTCACGTGACCACGCGCGCCCATGAAAGTTCTCCCCTTGCAGTTCCACCCCCACAATCGCGTAACCCCCAGCGCTCTTCCACACCACGCTCCACCAGAGCACGATCTCTGATATTCTTCCATTCCAATCCTTCTTCAATAAGAACCCTCTTGTACGACCTTCATCTTCTGATTCCTTTTCCTTTTTTTCCTTAATCGATTCGTGATCTGTAATTAGGATAGTGCTTAGTCCGTTAAGTTGGCAGTACGCCTGTTGCAGATAGCATAGGCCGTACAAGCGGTACAAACGGTACGAACGGTACGATCCGCAACCAAGGTAGTGCCTGGTTAACCGGTCGTACGCCCGTTACAACCACTGCTCAAGAATCCAATATTGATGATCCAATGTCCACTGAAATAGCTTGGACTCATATGAATAGAGGAGGCTTGTGTAGAGCTATTCTATGAGAATAACCACTTCTCTGTAATCCTCACCCCGGGACAATTCTCATTGATCTCAAGATGAAGAACAACAATGAGTTCTTTATATGACATTTGATGATTGACTTTGGAAGCTGTAATGAGCTGTTCAATTTCATCCAACTGTTCATCACTGAGTTGACTAGAACAATCAGCATATCTTTTAGAAGTGGCTACTTCGAGTTCACAGATGTATTGAGCTCCTTGAAATATTATTTCAAAATGATTGAATATTTTCTCATAGATTCATCTAAGACTGTGAAGAAGAAGAATATCTCAATGTTGATCATGAGTTAATTGCTTTGTAGAAGGTATAATAGGAGCTTCTGGGGATGCAGAAGCTTCAAGAGCAGCAAGTGAATCCATATTGACAATAGAATGAGTATAGACATCACATATGAAGGAAATAATAAGAAGGAGAAGCTGAATCTTCTCTTTGTATGTTGTTGGCATCCTTATTGCTCACGAGAATGCCACATGACCACACCTATTTAAGCAGTGCTTACTCCGTACAATGAACCAACCTTCGGGATATTTGAGGACGGCACCCCCTCCTCCCCGCCAGAATATGGTCAGCAGGGCACTAAAATATCAGGGTGGCACCAACAGAATAAAGGGAGTATACCAGCGTATTAATGCAGTCTTTGTGGGGTGGGTACAATGATTACTCTGGGTCTTCGGACAAGGAACGGTTAAGGGCCTAGTTCCGGTGAGGGCCTCCTCTACCAGCATGGCGCTGGTGGTGATCGAGCTCTTTTGTCTCAGTGGCCTAACAGATTACATGGGAGCCTTGGCTTCCTAGTACGGACTAGCGTTCCGCATATACAGCCACTCATATGTCCAACAGATTTTTAGGTTGACACTAACAAAAATTAAACTTCTGCCAAGACTTCCTGTCGGCAACTTTGATCTACTCAGTATGTCCACGAATATTACTAGTATCGTTTCACCATGCAATGGGAGTGTTTAGCTCTCTACAATTGCATCCAGTTTACTCCGTAGAGAGTACAAATTGCTGAGACCTTATATATTCTCATACTCAGAAGGGAGCACAGAGCGTCGAGCACAGCGTTCTGTCTAGAGAATGTAGATGCGAAGAATAATTAATTCTAGGGCTTTTTTGATTGATGGGTTGAGGCCGAGAGGCCAAAAGCGGAATCAATTACGGAATTCGTATAGTTTTCGTCGGCAGACAAGAGGGTCTCAAACCTTGTCTAGCCCTTCAATGACTGCGTCATCTGAATGAGACGGAGTTTCGTAACCCTCCAGTCCTCCTTTTCAAGAACAGCGCTGCCCCTTCATTCTCTCTGATAAAACGCAAGGAAAATGCATGCGGAGTCGATCCTCCATTCGGAGTAAACACACTACACAACAACTCCCTAACCTCGCAATGCCTATCGAACCATCATCCGAAGAAGGGCAAACTGCCGGAATCGCCGGCTCAAGCTCTAGCTCGCTGGTGACAACCACAGTGCTGATTATCGGGGCTGGTAAGTGTTAAATCAATGGCAAACATTTCAACGGTCCAAAGATATGAGCTGTACTGATAAAGTAATCCAATAGGGTCTACGGGATTAGCATTGGCCCAAGGTCTGAAGCAGGTGAGTCTCTTTGTCAATCATACCATATCATTCATATTGATTTCCCTTTGGTCGACTCTTTTTGATGACTGTCACCTTTTTCCATTCAACTGCTTGAGTTTGTGATCAATCCTAACCCCAGCGTGCGAAAACACTTCCGAGATAGGCCAATATATCCTGCATTGTGGTCGAGAGGGATGGGCGTCTCGATGCGAGATCGCGGGATTGGAACATGGGCATGCACTGGGGAGGGACAGCATTGAAGTCTCTCGTCAGCGGTGAAATATGGAGTCGTCTCCAATCTGTCCAAGTTGACCCTAGCCAACCGACAGCTGAAAGTGATGATCTGAAGTTTGTTAATGGCGAGTCTGGAGAACTCATCGCTGCCATTCATGCCCAGAAATTCTATCGACTGCGGCGCAGTAAGCTGCGCGCCCTCCTCGCCGAAGAGCTCGATATTCGATATAACAAGTCCTTCGAAAATATTGCCTTCTCCTCGGGTGATAGCCTGGCAGTTGTGCATTTCAATGACGGCTCTTCGATCGCTGCAAAGCTAGTTGTCGGGGCTGACGGTTCTAGGTCAAGCGTGCGACAGCTCTTGCTTGGGCCCGATCAGGCCGCCATTCGACGTCTTCCATATTGTGCAACATTTATCCACTCAAGATTCACCCGCGAACAGGCACTGTTCTTGCGCTCATTCCACCCGCTGTACATAGCCGCCATCCATCCTGGTGGCTTGTTCTCGTTCCTCGGAATGCAAGACGCTGCTGATCCAGAGAGACCTGAAACATGGACGTTCTTCTTCTACATATCATGGTACTCCAGCCTGGATGAGCAAGACAAAACGGCAAACTGGACGGATGCCCAGCGCAGCGAACAAGTCAAAGAATTATCTCGGACGTTCACGGACCCATTCAAGAGCGCATTTGAGTGGGCCAGTGCTGATTGCAAGGTGTGGTATTTCGGCCTGCATGATTTCGACCCGGGAGCGGAGGGACATCGCTGGGGCAACCTTGGTGGCCGCGTCACCCTTGCTGGCGATTCCGCTCACACGATGACTTACCAACGTGGGCAAGGGCTAAACCACTCCTTAACTGATGCGGCTGAATTGTGCGAGGCGATCAAGAATTTCACTTCCAAAAAGTCCACGCAGGGAGCGGCGATATCCTCGTACGAGGAAGCCATGATTCGACGGGCTGGTGGCGAAGTACGCCTTTCAACAACGAACACGGAGATGTTGCATGACTGGCAAAAGGTGCTGCAATCGCCTCTCATGAAAACTGGGATGAGACAAACAAATAAAGCAGCTGGCACGAGTTGATGTTCACGGGTAGTGGGCGGGTCGACTGCTAGTTTTCTTGATGTACAAATATGTAGTACATGTTGGCCCGGATCTCTCTTTTCATATGTGTCCAGTTATAGTCATTCTCGAGTACCGGCCAGTGAATATTAACAGATATATGTCATTTCGAATCAACAATACAAGACTGTCATTGAATGTATAATTTTGAATTCGACCGTCCTAGAAGTAGGCTTGACGCTATTACGAGGGACCTGGCTTCAACAAAAAAATTGCCCAGTCTCTCCAGCTCCAGCATCGTTGTGTCCTGGGAACTGGCTCGTATGATAAAGACGTCTTTAAGCTCCCACAGAGTGATGGAAGACCCATCGTTGTTCCAATCCCATCAAGTTTCGTGCCGGAGGCACATCTCCTCCCACATGCACATTGTGTTCGTCCATCCGTCTCACTCGCCAATGGTCAACGCTATTCCCCGAAAGATCACGGAATAAACCACTTTCTTTTCGTCAAGTCCTAAGATACTTCTGGCCCTACACCTGCAAGATAGGGACGTGGTCAGTAAAGGCATATATGTTTAGCTCATACACATGTAGACGTAAAGGGCAATAAGAAACCCTGGCGAAAAAGGGACAACGAAACAATGAATGAGAAAGAAGAAGTAAAAGAAGCGCACCGCTCCAAAATAGTCCGACTGGTTTCGGGATAAATTTCGGGATATATTTATCGTCTCCTAAGAATCAGTTCCAGAAGCCAATTCATCAAGTACTACCCAGGCCCAACCTGCTTGGCCGCAGAGAGTTTATTGTGGCGGATGTAAAGCTTGTGAAAACAGAATTTTCTGCCACCCCCTGAAAAGTAGTAGCAAAACACTGCAAAAATAATCAAAATATCCACATATCTCTAGAATCATTCAAATATCATCCAATTCATTCAAATATGCATCTTTATCATCAAATACACACCTTTATCATCAAATCTATCAATATATCTCACAACACCCACTGTTCTACTGTCTTGCAAGCTTATAAAAGAACTTCAACTACTCTGTATCTTTATCTGCTCAAATCATCTGTTCTGAATATTCTGAATAATAATAAAAATTCAACTGATGATGAAAAGGAGAAGAAGAAGAAGAAGAAGAAGAAGAAGAAGATACAATCAGAAAATTCTTGATTTCTGTAAATATTTATCTCTGAATCTGAGATCTTATTCAGACTGTATGAACAGATGATTATCAATGAAATAAAGAAGTCTATAAAGATTAAATTATGAAATATCATAACAAATGATATGACTGTCAGCTTCTATTATATTCAATATACTGTAAAAAAAATAGCTGAAGAGTATATTATAAAACAGAATTATAAAAAGATAGAAGTTGCAAATTGTATAGCAGTTATCTTATCAAATAAATATAAATCTTCAATCAAAATCATTCTTGAGAAGAAGATAGATTGAAGAGAGATTATCATTTTTTTAAAAAAGTTATATAAAAAGAAGATGAGTGGATTTAGACTGGCTGTGTGACCGTGCATGGAACTGGGACTAAAATTTTCCTCAGTCCCATTATCAAATATTTTAGTCCTGGTCTCATATAGTGTTTTGTAAATTAGTCACTTTACACTGTTTATATTATAGCTCTGATCTTATTTCACTGTTTATAAAAAATATTAAGTTCTGAATACTGTTCTTATCTTTATTTCTGAGTCACAGTCTCATTTGATTCCATTTTACAATACAGTATCAAATGAGACTGTGACTTACTCATAATTACATAATCCACATGTTATTACATCAGATGATGTCTAATTATGCTGTGAGTGTTACTAAATATCATTATCTTTTTTAAAGTCAACAACAGAAATACCATTATATGTCTGTAGACATATTAAAAATTTAAAAAAAAAAACAAAACAAATATCTGAGAATATTAATGAAAAAAAACAAAAACCTCCTGCAAAAAAAAAATAAAAAACAAATAAAAAATACAAAAAAAATGAAAAATATAAACAAATAAAACAAAATTTATTTCATCAGTCTATAGTTGTCAAAAAATTTACTTCTCAATTCTTGAGCAATTTCCACAATCAATCTAGTATCTCTCACAGTGAGAGTCATCTATCCACAATGAATCATGGCCTTAAGACCATCTGTGAAATAATTAGTGAGATATTGTTATATTTGTTTTCACATGATATTATACACTCAAAAAGTGTGATCAAGATTGTCTCTGCAGTGACTTGAAGAGTATCAAGAGCAGAACACTGAAAGCAATACTGATCTTCATCAATCTCTCAGACAAAACATACAAATGTAATCTTGAAGAAAATGAGATCTTCTGACTTCTGATAGTAACAGATCTCACAGATAGCCTCTAATCTCATATCAGTATCTAGTATTATCAAAAAGTGTTACTTTGATAATTTCATACTCTGCTTATTCACTTTTTTCATACAAGAGTGAGGGTTGTACATCTCTCACACAGCACAGTGAGCATTGAAATGCTGCTTATGATGATGAGCTCAGACTGCTTTTCACTCTGCCATTTACTATTCATATGCTGTCTTGTGGGCAGCAGCAGTTGTTGGCATAACCCTCTGATAAGAGATACTCTTATCATGAGTCATTTTTTCACTTGGGGGGGGGGGAAGGTATTGGGTGTGGGGAATGAATATATAGATTTCAGAGGAGAAAGGACAGAGACTTATAGTGCTGAATTTACTAGATAGAATCAAATAATTAATCAATATTCATTAGTGAGAAAACATTGAGATATTTATATTGCTTTTAATAGTTAATATACTGATGCAGAATTATAATAAATTGAAGAGGAAAGAGAGAAAGAATCAAGAAAAAAAAAACATCTGTAGATATTAATCTGAGAGATTGCATTTGCAAATAATCTCTACAGCAATACAGAAGTATTTCATTTGCATCAAACTATAATATAATCTGTATAGCAACTGCATATATACAATATCAACAAGCATCTCATCTGCATTGAGTCATAATATAATCTGTATAGCAACTGTATGCATACAATATCAACAAGCATCTCATCTGTATCAAGTCATAATATAATCTGCATGGCAACTGCATGCACATAATATTAATAAGCAGCACAAAAATGCAAACAGTGTTGCTATAAGATATGTAATTTTCTATAATATATAGCTGTAGATTTTTTTTTCTTCTTGAATTCTTTGATATATCTCTATTCTTCCCATCATATTTCTGTGCAGATATTGTCTTGTAAAAAGTGTATATTTTTTTCCAAACAAATCTCCACCATTACAATCAGAATGCATTTTTCTTTCCCTCTCTTCACTGAAAACATGTCTGTTTCTTTCTTCAAGAAACATTTGATGGCTCTGTATACCATCAAGGCACACAAGTGCCATCATCATCTTGAAGAAGAAGAGAAAGAAGTCTTCAAGTATGAAGAGACTGACTGTAAGACATATTATATTGTCTTGAAAAAACTCTGCAATGAAGTAGATTGATAATAATCTTGAGTAATGCTTCTGCTGAATTTTAGCTAATAGTATGAAAGAATTGATGCTGATGGCTCAATATATAAGAAGTTGAAGAAGAAAGTAGTGGAGTTGCTGATGCAGCAGTACTGAGATCAGAAGCATTTATGAAAATGATTTGAGACTAAGATGAAGAAAAAAAGAGCTGAAAAAATGATGACTGTAAAAAAGCACTGTCAGAAGGAGATTGAAAATATGTTTATTTATGAGACAAAAAAGCTTAAACTGATAGATTATATTTTGAATATATTCATTGATAACATTTTTTGATAACAGCTCTGTGATCTAATTGATTAGCAGACTTCTGAAGAAAATCAGAGAATTGAGATCTTGTTTAGATTTTATATACACTCAATGATTCAAGATATTGAGAAGACAGTATTGTTTTCTGAGCACACTAATCTGCTTGCTGCAGAGATAGAACTCAAGACAGCAGATCAGAAAATGCATAACTTTGAAGTGCAAATAAATCTGATAGAAAGAGAAAAGAGTTCTCTCTCATCTGAGAAGATAGCAAAGAAGAGTTTTGAGGTGATTGTTTTCTCTGATAAGAAGGAGAAGAAGAAGGAGGAGAAGAAAGAGCAGAATTGAATTGTGAAGAATAAAGAGAAGTAGAAAAAGAAGAAGAAGCAGAACAAGAAAAAAGAGAAGAAGAAAGAGAAATAATGAAAGAAAATTTTTTTTTACAGAGTTTTTTAATACTTTTGTTAAATTAATTATATTATTATAATGATCAAAGATTTGAAATTTTATTTGATATTTCACTTTATGAAAATTCTTTATTGTGAGAATATATCATTGTAGAGACATTACACTCATGATATATATATATATATATACTTATAATTCTTGTACATTATTTGATGTCATATGTATGACTTTATATATAATATCTGTAAACAACAAAAGATGATATATTTATACTATAGAATTATAATAGATAAACTTTTCAGTGTCTATAAAATTTAATAATTTTTTTAATATTTTAGTAATTGTTATTTTATATTTTGTTGCATTGTATTGTATTCATTATTGATTATAAATATATTTGACTAGTCTTCTAATCAATTAGAGTAGATTATTGAAAAAGAAGTAGTAAAAATCTCAACAGATTTTCTAATGTTATTATTCTAACAATTTATTTTACTCATATTTTTCTATCATTTATATCATCATAACAATTTCATTCATCACTGAATCAAGAAATTCATCATCTTCTTTAATGGAAGTTGAAGATCTTATAGAAATAAGAGTGGATCAAAAAATTTATATTATTTATAAATTCTTGCAAGATGATCTCTTTCAAGTCTGATGGACACACACATTCTTTTTTCTTTAAGATAATAAACAACACAATTTATAGAAAAGTCAGCACAGACAATAAGAAGATATATGAAAAAACTTTCAATAAATTGCAGTCAAGATTACTGAAGAGCCATTTCTTCACTGTAATCATTGCAACTCCATACAGAAACATTCATTATAGAG